CTCAACACGGACCATGAGGCCCTCAAGTACAACAATATAGCCAATCCCATCTCAACAAGAGACATGCCAAATCGGTGGTTTACTTGTAACAATTTACATTCTCTTTACAACATAAATCGGGGGTTCTTAATAAAGTGGCCGACGGTTTGAGTAGACGAACGACTCTTTTGATTGAAATGAAGAATGAAGTTGTGGGTTTCGATGAGTTTTGTACATTCTATGCATGTGACCCTTCTCCAAGATTTTTGATGCTTTGCAAAAGGGGGATAGGGCTACTTAACCAAGCTTCATGATTAGGGATTGCTTTCTCTTCCATGGCTTTAAGTTGTGTGTGCCTAGTTGCTCCTTGAGGACGCATTTGTTGATTGAGCATCACAAATTGGTTGATCGTGCAGGACCAAGGATGTGGGCAACCATGTGATGCAGCGTCAAATTTGTCAAAGAAGCAAAGGGACTACAAATAATTTGGGATTATATATGCCTTTACCAGTGCCGGATGGTCCTTGGCAAAGTATTAGCATGGACTTAGTGTTGGATTTACCTCCTACACAAAGGAGGAGTGATTACCTCGCAAGAAGATCATGGATGCTACAAATATTGCTAACTTCTTTTTCAAGGAAGTCTATAAGTTGCATGGGGTGCCTACCTCTATTGTGACCGATAAAGATACTATCCTTGCTTACTTTTGGAGAACTTTGTGGAAGAAAATTGGCACCGACTTGAACTTTAGCACTACATTTCATACTCAAATTGATTGCCAAACGGAGGTAGTGTATCAAAGTTTTGGCAACTTGTTGAGGTGTCTTGCGGGAGATCATTCTAAGAGTTGGGATGGTATTATTCCTTTGACGGAGTTTGCTTACAATTCATTGATCAACCGCACCATAAATAATTCTCCCTTTGAAGTAGTTTATGGAATGAAACCCTCAAGTGTTATGGGCTGGGTTCCTTTGCCTATCTTAAGGAAGGGAAACATTAAAGCGGAGGACATGGCTACATTCATGAAGAATGTTCATGCCCAAGTTAGGGCCCAAATTGGAAAGTCCAATATCAAATACAAATCGGCCGTTGATGTGTATAAACGGAAAGTGTTGTTTGAGGTGAGGGATCTTGTGTGGGTTGTGTTGAGCAAAGAAAGGTATCCTCATGGTGTTTACACCATGTTAAGTGATAGGAAGGTGGGTCCTTGTGACATGTTGCACAAAGTCAATGACAATGCTTATCAAGTCAAATTGCCTCCTCATTTGGGAATCTCCAACACCTTTAATGTGCAACACCTTTTGCCTTATTTGCCGGATGATTCTTGTATCAACACCGGTTCTATCATTGTAGATTAGTCTCCTTCGTAGAATTTGTTTGTATTGTGGTTTCTGTTAGATATATGTTAGGATCATCCTATTATTTGTTTCTTTCCTCATTTAGATTATATTTTGATTCCCTAATTAGTGCCTTGGGACTTTCTTATTCTATTAGCAGTTATTTCCTTATTTGTGCCTCCAAGGTTTCCATTGTAAGCTACCTACCTATTATCAATATAAAAGGGGGTGATTGTCTAATCATTCTCTAAGTTAGTTTCATCTCAAATAAATGGTTTCTAGTTTTGATTTCAGTTGTGGTGCATTAGTTGTATCTTGTTTGTCTTCACTTGAGGACAAGTTCTTTCGAGTGGGAGAGTATAATGTAGGCTATCATGTGCATAGCATGTGATAGTTAGTGGAGAGAAATTGTAGCCTATATCTAGACGAGGCATTACCACTTTGTAACTAACTTTTAGATATTGAACATTGATTGATTGAGATATTTCTCTCTCTAAATTCTCTCTCATGTTCTTGATTGGGCCCATCATTAGTATGCCAAAGAAACACAAAAAAACAAAATAAAAAAGCATCATGGAACATGTAATAAAAACCGACATAGATATCAGTATACTCTTGAATTTTCTGTGCATCTTGCTACGTCCATATAGAGAATACAACACCTTTATCTGCATCATTACCTCATAACATACTGAAAAACCTCTTCTTTGGATAAAAAAGAGTCTGATTGTGATAGTTTTTAGAACAAGACCATCAAACTTTACGCAGAATGGATCAATTATCATTACGAAGAGGAAGCTGAGGGTGCTCCCAACAAACTTCAAGCAGAATGGATGAAATAGAAGTGTGTTAATGACTGTTGTTTAATTGTAAAATTCCAGCTAAACTTAAGGGGTATATAACAGTAATAAGGCTCATTGTGTTGTACAGTACAAAATATTTACAGTTTAGAAACAAAATGCCCAAAAACAGATTGTATATTCAATGAGAATGTAGAGATGGATGAATGTTGTACAAGAAAAAAAAGAATAAGATGTAGGAAAAAGGACAGTTTTAGTCCCTAAAGTATGTGTTATTTGTCATTTTATTCCCTTAAGTTTCAATTTTGTCATTTTAGTCATCAAAATTGTCAAATTTGAGTCAATTTGGTCCTATCTCTGACGTCCATCTAAATTGATAACAGAAACGTAGATGAATGACAGTTTTAATCCTTAAAGTATGCGTTCCTTGTCATTTTGGTCCTCAAAATTGTCAATTTGAGTTAATTTCGTCTTATCTCTAACGTTCGTCTACATTACGAGTGCTACACGGGCGGGGTCAACCCGAGCAACCTGACTTTTTTTAGGGCATGGACAAAATATTTTTGAATTTAATGAGGGCTTGGACAAAAATTCAGAAGTCTGAATTAAATTTAAGCAGCTTTGGGCAAAGATATTGAACAACCCGAAACTCAAATTATATATATAAATATATCAAAATATTAAATATATCTACTCCCTCCGTCTCAAAATATTAGTCCCTTATTCCATTTTTCATTGTCCAAAAATATTAGTCCCTTTTCAAAAATCAAGTACAAAGATAATATAAATTTTCTATTTTGCCCTTCTTTTTAATTCATTAACATAAAAAGTACAATTATGAAATTGATATTCCCCAAAAAATGTACTATCAAAGGGTAATTTTGAAAAATCAATTTTTTTTTAAAGTGCAATAATTATACTACCAAAAAAATTTAGATTCCCCAAAAGGGACCATTATTTTGGGACGGAGAGAATATAAATTATTAGCCATTAGTTGATGTTAAAGTAATTTAGATTGTTAGATGATATTGAATATATATATTATATACAAGTAACATAAAACAAAATCTTACATTTTTTGTTTTTGACTCCAAAATTATAAAGACTACTATAGACTGTAGTCACACTCGCACATCAGTTCTTCAATTCTTATCTCTCTCACATTATATAAATTATTTGTTTTGACATTATTAATGATTTTATATAAAAAAAATGTAAATACAAATTAATTTTAACAAATTAATTAACTTAATTGCACAACATAAAAAATCAAATTTATATGCAATGCGGGCCTAGCTCGAGTCGGGTTTGGACATACACACCAATCTATTTTTTTGAAATATCATTGTCACCCCCTTTAATCCTTAAAATTACACTAACACCCCTTGTTAGCTAATTCCATTAAATGTAATGTTAAAAGACTATAATACCCTTCTAGATTATTCAAATTTTACCTATCAGCCACTCCCTCAACTTTATTTAGGGTTGGTTTGGGAAGTGATCTTTTTAGCTTTTTGGCTAAAATGTGAGGTGAAAAAAACTATAGTGTTGAGAAATTTGAATTTTTGACTTTTTTAATAAATTTTTGACATTTAACTATATTAGCCTCATCTCAAACGACCCTTTAATCTCTTACACCCTATGATGGTCGTGATTTGAGGTTTGAGTTACTACCCAGGAAGAAGAGAAAAAAAAAAAAGAAATGAGAAAGATGTTAGTGTATGGTGATAAAGTACAAAAGGGTATATATTCAAGGTAAATATACATGTGGCATAATATGATTGGAGCTGCGACTAAATTGACTTAAATTGATAACTTTGAGGGCCAAAATGACAATTAAGGGACTAAAATGACAATGAATGCATACTTTAGGGGCTAAAACTGTCTTTTACCCATACGGTTCCCGTTATCAATGTAGATAGGCGTTAGAGTTAGGACCAAATTGACAACTTTGAGGACTAAAATGACAAAATTGAAACTTAAAAAAACTAAAATGAAAAAGAATGCAAGCTTTAGGGACTAGAACTATCTTTTATACCAAGATGTATTAAAAGGAAGCCACTAGTGACAGTAGCAGAAGTTAATATGAGGGAAAAACAATTGAGGTGACTTGGCCATATGGAACGTAACAGTTCAAGACATCAGCACAAAGGAGTGATTTCATGCAAGTTAAAGGTGCTAAAAGGAAAAGATGGACATCAGAAATGACTTTGATTGACACTGTGAATAAGCAAAAGGTGGCTTAGACTCAACTAAGGAGATTTGTTAAGAGGATATTAAAGAAGATGGGCTCAGGTAGCCAACCCACGTAATTTGGAATTAAAGCTTGTTGAATTAATTTGATGACTTTCCCCAAATACAAGAAGTTACTAGATGGAGAGTATAAGGTCTTTGATTTGAAGTTTAAAATTTCCATGAACCTTTATTACTATTTATTTTTTTATTTTTTTTTTAAAGCTTGAACCTTTATTATTGATATACATGAAAAACAATGTCAATTGTTCGAAAACATAATGCCAAAGTAAATTATTTCTTTTATTCACAATTGCTCATCAGTGCCATCTGTTCACTGTTGTACAGAATAATATTGATGTCAGGATATTCAATGCTACTTGATACCATGGTATGCCCCTGCGCTGCACAAGAGTCTTGAGACTCCCAACATTATGAACCTCTTTTTATGGGTAAGTACTGACATTAAGAACCATTCACAAGATCGGTATATCTTATGATTATTTAACAATATTATGGAATAAATTGTTCAGCTGGAACATGGATTCTCACTGACGTATCCGCAATGATGATTAATTGCTTTTCAGAGTGATAATATTTAGAAGTACATTATGTATCTAAGATTATATAAGAAACAGAGAAGCTGTAATACCTGAAAAAACAAATCTCTGTGGTAACTCTCAGTTGGTGGCATAAGGGCATCTATGAACACATGTTTCTCAATCCTCCAAACTCTTAAATAGCTGAAGAGCTCTGACAATTCATCAAGTGCCTTGTGTGCAAGTTTGTCTGCAGGGATAGGGAACTACCAGATATAACATCTTCATATGCATCACTTAAATGTCTTATCCAACATAAAAGGTTAAAGATAGCATACCAGCAAGAAGGGCACCTCGCAATCTAGGAAGGGCCTCATCTGCAACTCCACAGAATCTCAATCCTACCGTCTGCAACCTATTTACAGCTGCTTCCGCAAGATTGATTTCCTGAAAGATAGCAAAGTTAGAGGAAGTAAAGACGTCCAACTAGAACATAATAGTGGCAAACTGATAACTGATTTACATGCCAGCACATCCACAGTGATAAATACTTAACAGCACACAATGTTTTGTACTACGGTAACTTAGACACAAAATATCAGCACGACTAGAAGCTTAATGCTTTTTTTTTTTTATATTGAATTTTGTTTTTTATTAATTTGCAGCATAAAAGAGATGTCCTTTCCTGTTCTCTAGAGACACATCTCTGTGAGCAAAATCATTTTCTTGAATCTTATCCCATGCTAGTGCAACAATCATGAACATAATTTAAACAGCATGGTGTGGTTACCAACCACCCTCAAAACATCACATCACGTGCCAGATGCAAGTGACGTTCTTGTGTTGGTCAAGATCATGTGATTTTAAAACAACATGAAGCAAAAATAATATGCAACGGAAAAATGGATTCAAGCATACTTTCGGTGCTCAAACCGAATCCATAGATTATATGGGTGAATCACATGCCTCCATGATGAACTCAAATAATTCCCAACAGTAGGGTAAAACTACTAGAAAACTACCCATACTATTCACAGTACAAAGACATGGTTGTTCTTCAATGCAGAGTTAGAGAGTTTTTGCAGAAATCTTTTCGGTTGAAACCCACACTATATAATACTTAATACATATCTGTAATATAGAGACAAGAGATATAACCACCCACAACTCTTATCTCCTCATAAGATGAGATGGTGGGTTATTCACACTTATCCCCCGAATACGGTGGTTTGAGATTCAAATTAATAGGACTTCTAAATGGATCATTGGTCATGCCACCATGGGCATCCAAATCCAAGTTTGAAGCCTAACCCGATTTCCAACATCTCCCAATCGCACATGCGTTGGCATGACAGTGCCTCATCTCTATCTCAATCTCAATTTGTCCAAAGATCGAACAAACTCATGCTTGCCAATGGACTGTGCGACTGCTAAGAACACTCGGATGAGCCACAAAAATCGGCCTTGTTTGCAACAACTGGAAAAACCGGTGGTCCAACCGATGAACCGGTCGCGGTTCTTTATCAACCCGCTAGTTGAAAATTTTTGATTTTTCTTTTCTTTTCTTTTCTTTCTTTTATATACATATATATATATATCAAAATTTTGACTAAAAACTTTTACTTCAAGAGTCTCCTCTCATGGGAAAATCCTTATTGGAAGTTTGAAGAAATTATGAAAGTCTATTCCTATTTATAGGAAAAAATTGTTCAAAGAGAACCTAAAAACTCTATGTGAGATTCAATCAAATTGTTTGAATCATATTTGATTGGAGGGAGAGTTGAAAATTTCATTTCCCCTCAAAATTAAATCTAGCTTTCAATCAATTTGTTTGGAGGGAATGTTAAAATTTTTTAATTTCTTTAAAACTAGTGACTTTTTTTTTTTTTTAATCAATTATGACTTTAATAAATGTTATTAGTAAATACTAAGCAACCAATTTTATTTTTATTTCTTTACTTACATTTATTTATATTTATAATTACATATTATTAATTATGATGTCACAGTTCGACCGCTTCGACCCGACGGTTGAACTAGTAACCCATCTACCCAGTCCCTTTTCCAGTTCTCTCACCAGTCCAGAATGATTTCAATACAAAAAGCTTTAAATCTGAATATAAGTGTGACAAGGCCAAGGAGCCATAAGATTCTTCAATTGAGAAAAGGAAAGATGGTATAGGACATGAGAAAAATCAAGGTACTATGGTTAACCAATGTTTCCGGGAAAATAAGCTACAGATGTTACAACTTAAATAAAATGAATATTTTGAATACCAGGGAATGAGAAAAAGAAAAATAAGCATCCACAAGAAAACCAGACAATTCACTAGGAAAAGAAAATGAACATCACTCATGGTGAAAGAAGGATCAGACATGTCAGTAAACAACAGATTCCAGAACATATCATGTGTGGCCATGATCAACCCACCCATGTGAACACCAATGAACCAAACAGTTCATTATACATATGTTATACAACTGAGTACTTCAAGCACAATGATATAAAGATATGTAACCATTTTATATGATCATAATGCCCATGCCAAAAATTCCACACATGTTAACCATTAAAAAAAGTTACGATAATAATCTTAAATCAAATTGTAAAAAAACCGATGAAACCGGTAAACTGGTCTGGACCAGTCCAATTGTACTGTTTCATTAGGTTTCTGTGGAGAAGGTTGGGTTTGGTTCAAGTAATTAATAACCGTTGTTTACAATTCAGTTCACAGATTAGGTTTAAAAGAAATGGACGAACCAAACCGAAACATTCTATATTCTTTTATTAACTTTAATATGTTTAAGGGTGTTCTACGAGGTTCTTGACACTTTCTCATTGGCTTCCTCGAACTCCAATCTCATTTCAACTTTCTAATAGAAGGAACTTTCCCAATGCATAAAGATGTGTTCATATACATAATAAAATAAAAAATTCACTATTTATCTAATTTTTTCATCTCTTATATTATTGAGATTTGCATTTTTACAATAATTGGTATATATGAAAATTTTGTGGCATCTTTACACATATAATTAAAGTTAGTTTGGATTATATTATGAAATTTGAAGTATACTTGTAGATTTTTCTTGGAATAATTCTATAGATTAAATCAATCTATGCCGTTCAAAAAAAAAAAAAAAAAAAAAAATGGTACTCTGATATGGTGATGAATTTTTTAGCTTGGAACCAAACTGCCTATTGGAACCGTACTGGAAATTTTCTAGCTTCGCTTTTCATTCACCTTAAAACTGAACCAACCCAATTCATGAACATCACTAATTCTGGGTGAATGCTTTAGATGGTCACATTATTTCAAGAGTAATCAATTCAAATTAATATCCATGCACAATTAACTAAATGAAAAGAAGCCCAACTCCAAATGATGTTGTGAGTGATACACATGCAAAAATAAATAAAAACCAAGAAAAAAACCAGGGTGTGCAAATCATACTGTTACAGCTCAGCAAGATTGATAAGGCTAAAAATAAATTTAAACTAGTTTTCTAATTTTTTTTTTTTTTTTTCCAAACCTGTTGAAGTTGCCGTCTTATTAGCACCCATTTGGACTTTCTTTCAGAAGACTGAGGACGCAAAGATCCCAACAGAAAAAGAAGCTTCATGTAAAACCAAATGCAATTTTCAGGTCATACATCAGGAACTAAATAATAAACACCTCAAAAGGTCATTTAATAGCTATGAAGTAGATATACCTCCGCTACTTTCTGCCTATGCTCCACCTTTATTCCTATCCAATTCCAAATTGCATCCAATAAATCTCCATGATTTAGATGTATGTCACATGATTCTGAATTAAAAAAGTGATTCATGATGTCCATCGTTGACTGCAAATTGACCAAAAAATACATTGAATATTTCACAACAGAGATTAAACTACTACATTAATTATGGCGTGCACTTAAAACACATCATGCATAAATAATTAAACAGAGTATGCATACATAATATCCTGAAAAATAATAATGGGTGGGTAAATTAAGGTGGATGCGATTATGCAATGTGCTAGTTACTGAAGAAAGACTACGCGGCATATTTTGATGAAGAATATAAATCTAATCTAAGAAGCACAAGACATCCAACAAACATAAGAATTAATTAACACGAGATATCCAACAAACGCTGAAATTTTAATATCTAGAAACAAAAAAAAAAATGCAAAAAAATCGATTGACTGCGGAGCAAATAATTGTGTCTTCGATAGTCAGCAAAATTTCATACCCAGTAGTGGCCAAGATATCAGTTGCTTACCCAAGGTGAAGAAAAAAAGTTATTAAATTCATCAAAAGCAAAAACAAATAAATGAATAAAAAAAGATGCAGCCCCTCGTCATAAGCCACGATCTAGTGTGCATGCAACATCATATTATTATTAGAACTTAATAAATAGATGATTCAGATCAAATCATACAAAAACTAAAAAAGGTACACCTAGTTTAGTGCCCATTAAATTATAAAATAATAATAAGCCATTGCCTGAAGCACCTCCTGTTTGAGCTTGAATCGAGCACCCCACTTCACTTAAGTTGCCTTGTTTCAGGCCTCTTGCGGCGCTAATGCTTTGCCTTGCCATGCTTCTACCTTAAGCCCTCACTTAGGCATGCTTTTCAAAACACTCAATGAAAAAATGTTCACAAATAAAGAGCTATCTCTTCTTTTTTTTAAAGCTCTCTCTTCTTTTTTTTTTTTTTTTTGAGAGAGAGAGATAACAAAAGATCTAAGAACAATTAAGGATAACAGTACAATAGTAGGAGAACCAGTGGTTCGCCAAAAAGATGCAAATAAAAAAAGAAAAAACAACATTATAAATTGCACACAACTCTCAAAGCTCTACAAATCGAAAACAATGGAAACTCCTTAACAGGAGGCAAAACTGACACCCAAAATGAAGAAAGGTAATAAACCCTAGCCCATAAACCTCCTAATTCATCAAATTTATCAACAGAGGTATGCGCTTTTATTTCCGACAAAAACATCCAAAAAAATGCACAAAGAACACAAATTCATAGAGTTATAGTGATGCAGGACAATGCCGGATTTTGAAAACAGAGGTTATTTGGCAGCCTAAATAATGAGTACTTTAGGGTTTTCAAGATTAAATTAAAGGCTAATAGGTAAGAGAAATGATTAGGGTTGATTTAGGAGTGATTGGATAGGGTTTTGAGGTTGAAAAGTGCACTTTTAGAGGGCCATGAATAGTAACCCGAAAATAGTAACTAGAGCATGTGTGCCTAGAAGAAAAAAGAGAAGGAGATAGTTCAAGGAATCAGTCCTAAAATCCCTTAGCTATCACAGCTAGGGTTTGATTGCATCACACAATTCATAAGAAAACTTTAAAGCTCTAGAAATTCCCTAAAATATCAACTCTATTAAATCATAATCATTATATGGCTCTTTACATAGAACTAGGAGACTTCCTAAATGAATTAGAACCAAAAAAAGAAACTACCAAAACTATTTAGACTTTCTAAATGAAATGTTTGAGGGCCCGAAATCAGGGGCTCGAATTCGGCTCGAAATCCAAAACGGCGTCGTTTTGGGTTTCATTTTTTTTTTTCTTTTCTTTTTCTTCCTTTTCTTCTTCTTCTTCTTCTTCTTCTTCGTTTTGAACACAGGAGAAGAGAAACAGGGGCGAGAGAGAGAAACAGAGGCGAGAGGCGAGAGAGAGTCGTTGCAGCTTGTCGCTCGTTGGCCAATCGTCGCAACTCGTTGCTCGTCGCAGCTCGTCGGCCGATCGTCGCATCGCAGCCCCGCCTCCGCCTCTGCCTCCGCCCACCTCCACCTCCGCCTCCAGCCCGATTTTGAAGGCCCCTCCAGTTCTGCTTCTCCTTCTTCTTCTTCTTCCTCCTTCTTCCTTCTCAAATTCGAGCCGGGCCTTTCGGGCTCTATAGCATGATTCAATAAAAATGACCTACAAGACAATCCATGGGTGACCTCTACAACCCATGTCCGCAAATATGAAAGTTACCAAAATACCCTTGACAAAAAAATACTAGAAAGCATAAAAATTATCCTAAAATAAGACTCTAATAATACTATAAATATGATTTTGTATGATTCCTATCGGTTTCTCTTCGAAATCGTGCAAATTTTCAAATATGGCTGCTTCTTTGAATTTGCTCATTCTTGAACTAGTTATATTCTGCATCATGTTGAGCCTTAGAGGAGCAAACCATCTAAAATCAATCTCTCGAGAGAGGGGGAACCACCCAATCCATGCCAGCAATAGAAAACAGTTAATGCCAAGGTTTTAAAAAGCGGCCACAACCGTTACGTAACGCCGTTACGTAACGGTTTTGGCGGTTACCGCCACCCGTTACGGCCGCTTTTGCAGTGTGATTGAGATTCACAGATGTGTCGACCGTAGCAGTCGTAACGGCGCCATAACAGCCGTAACGGCTTGTTATGCACCGTTACGTAACGGTTCCAAACTGTTTCTTTCGAAAAAACACACAAAAAAAACTGAAAATGGGGGAAGAGGGATAGAAAGAAGAGGGAAGATAAAGAGAGAAAATGGAGGAGTAAGAGATAGAGAGAGAAAAGAGGGAAGATGAATGTTATTGATTTGTTGAAACTGTAAGGCCTATGCTATTCTATTCAGCTGCTATCACTCAACCATTTTGTTTGTGTGTGTCTATTTATATATTATTTGAAAATAAAAATAACAATAAGTGTGGTCATTATCTATTTGGCTTGGTTAAAATATGTATATATATATATATACTTAGGCTCTTATTTATTCTCTTGCTTTTATCATTGTTTATCTTATATATATAATAGTTAGTGATTGATTTTTTGTATAATATAAAGTTATTAATTATTAAAATAAAATGTAAAAAACTCAGTATATAGTGATTTAAAAATATGAAATATATTGGATCATACTTAAAAATTTATAAAAATTGATCAATATTTATTTTTAACCTAATAAATATGATCATGGAGAAAAAATATGCGTATCGGTAAGTTTTTTTCAAATTATGCGAAAAATAAAAAAATTCACGGTTCCGGTTACTGCAACCGTTACACTACGGCCTTTACACCCCGCAACCGCCACCGCCACCGCCACCGTTACGGCGACCGCAACCGCTTTTCAGAACCTTGGTTGATGCACGAACAACAAAGCCATTGAACAATGGAGAAAAAGACGATCAATCGTCTCTCCTCATCCCTCCTAGACTTGATACACCATTGCAGCAACAAGATGCACCTAGGTCTCTTTTTTTTGGATCAAATCATTGGTATGGAGATTTTTATACACTATCCAAGTTATTTTGTAAGAATCAAATGATGGAACATCTAGATTATCAATAAATTTATCAAAGAAAAATTTGCAAGAAAACACTTTTGAAGAATAAGTAGTCTAGATCCTTCTATCCCTTACACCCTTTCACAAAAACTACATAAACAATGGATAGCAAAGATGCCAAATCATTAGCCTCACGATCATTTAGACTTGTAAAGAAATTGAACCACCACAAAATTGAAGCAATAAAGGAAGAAACCATGGACGCAATAGAGATGCTATGGTTGATACAACCAAGGGAAAACATTTCTATGGAGCCCTAGAACTTTCCCTTACAATCACCCGGGAATCCCAACTGTTAGGCTGCAACCTGTACTTGCTCTTGATGACAGAGGGACTTGTGAGGAGTTATCTCATTTAAGGAGTTATCCCAATCGTCACTTGCTATCAAATGAGAAGTTATCGCTTACAAGATCAATATAAATTTTCCTTCTTTATCTCTTCATTTGGAGTTCTTCATTTTCTTTCTTAGGTTCTCATGTTTAAACCTTTTGTTTATGAGGTTTTAATTTCATAAACCTCAACATGTCCAATTCCGGTTCAAAAAAAATATATATATATATATATATTTGTCCAATTATTTAGTTATTGAGAATGCATTAAGTACTTTGTGGTAGCATTATGAAGAAAACATCAAGAAAATTGAAATACCTCCAAGTCAAATTACTTAAGTAAATAATTAATTTGGAGCAATATTTTTCCTTTAAACTTCTGAAGTCACAATAACTTCTTATAAATTAGAAAAAAATAACAAATACGGTACCCTATTGATAAGAATATAAGTACCCTAAGATATCTATGATATTGCCTATTTTTGGAAAACAAATATAAAACATTAAATGCTAAGAATGTAGATCGCTTGAGATATTAAAGCTCTTTGATGTTAATAATATACCTTATCACAGACTTCATCACATAAAGCAATATGACGAATAACTAGACAACCTTTCAATAAGGCACCACTAAAGAAATTCATGTCAAAGATGACTGCAAAGAAAGAACTAAAAAAAATAAAATAAAATTATGAGGTAGGTATGGAATTGATTGCAGATCCATTAAGCAAAAATACTAAAGTCACTATTTCACTATCAAAATGTTTGGCAGTTGGAGTAGCAAATGAAGTACAACCAATAATGTGACAAATTATGGCCTTAGTCCAGTATTACATTCAAATTACTTTGGGTCTAGTTCATTACTGTGAATATGGCTGATAAAACTGAATACCTTGATGACTTCTGCCTCTGTCAACGCTGATGCACCTCCAATAATATCAAAATCTCCCTATACACAGGAACTGTTGTCATACAGGTGACTCTTATCTAAATCAAGTATTGCCATCAAGCTCACACAACTGAGCACATTGACTCACAGATTATATAAAGAACTTTTACCAAGTAAAATGCAATGCAAACCTGAAGATAACGATTTGGTGGTGAATGACCAATTGCTCTTCGATAAACATATGATATTTCATATCGTTTGAAAGACGATTTCTGCAATACCAATGAGTAAGACATTGTCAAGGAATAGAAAAGAAAAAAGAATCCAAACAGTCCAAATATCTAACAAAGGATAACTAGCTGTGGACTTGAGGATACCAATGACAGAAATATTGCTGGATATTTTACACCAATTTAAAGTCAATTAACTGTCAGAATTTTAAGCAAATGGTCGTCAGAAAAAACAATCCAGACACTGTACTTGTATGTGATAAGGAATATCATAATTAAATTGGCAGGTAGAATAACAAAATACTAATATTTTTCACTAAACTTAGGCAAAAGTTATGATAAATTACATCGCATAAAACTCTCCTATAGTTAAGTGACTTAAACCAGTGCTTATCCTAGTTGGCAAAATAATCAAATAAAAAGTAAGAAGCAATAAAACTAATAATGACAATTCAAGAAAATCCGAGTTAAAGAAATGAGAATTTTATTGCCATATATTAGAAAAAGGATTCATGACTTAAGGCATGGTTTAGTTTGGTTTGGTTTGGTTTATATTAGAAGAAAAAGTCACTATCTACTTGGAAGAATGAAATTTCCCCTACTCTACCATTTCATCACCATCATTGGCTCAATCCAAATGTCAAGTCCTACCATAGCCATAAAGCTAACAATCAGTCGATACGCTTATATTTCTGTTGTTACCATCAATGACTTCGACAATCAGTAAATATTTTATATCAGCATTAATATCAATAGCTCCATTTGTATGTCCACATCATTGATCAAAATTTCATTTCGGCATGTCATTTGGTCAGCTCGAAACTGGAAATGTATTGAAAATATTTTAGTAACACAAGGAAAAGAACAAAAACATTAAAAATACAGAAATATTAAGAGAGAAAAACAAAAAACTGTTTATATTTATTAATAATCCCAATATTTTTAATTAACTCAACAAGTTTGAAGCTTTGAATTCATTCAAACTAAGGGCACAATTAAATGAGTGTACCATCTGAAAGTAAACATCAAAGTGAACCAAAAGTTGTAAAGTAGTTGTCATGTACAATCTAGAAGTAAATTTCATTGTGAACCAATGAAATTATAGTAATAAAAAATAAATCAAATGTTATCAAACACAAGTGTAGATGCATAACCGCACAAATTTAAAAGGGATTATTTCACTTTCTACCCTTGAACTATTGTCAAATTATCTACTTTCCCTAAACGATCAATTGAGTCTACTAAGTCCCTAAAGTATATAGATCATAGTGTATTTAGTCCCTAAACTAAAGATTGAATCTATTAAGTCGCTAAAATATTTAATTCAGATCCATCTAGTCTCGCAAAAAAAATTAGAAAAAAATATATATAAACTCATAATTATTATAAATTAATAAAATACACAACCTAGTTAATATTTTATTTCAAAAAAAACATAATTCTCTTGATGTCTTTAAAAATTGGGTGCCAGTTCCTTTGGTGAAGTTCTTTTGTAAAGGTAAGGATAATTATCTATAGTATTTTGTTGCTTATCTTCTACAATAGCTTTGCTTACATTTATCTAGCATTATATGTTGAATTTCATTTATAATTTCCTTTATAATTAGGCTAAGAAATGAAACTTTGATTCTAATTACAATACAAAAAAACAATTTCTAAAGATAAAATAGAAATTGAAGGTTTTTTAAAAATAAAATCTTCACTAGGTAAGGTCTTTTATTATTATTATTTTTTTTTTTAAATTTCTAAATAAAGTCTTTTACTAATTTATGATACGTATAGGCTTATATTTTATTTTTGTAATCATTTCAAAGACTAAATATATTTGAATTAAATATTTTAGAGACTAAATACACTTTGATTTATATAATTTACAGACTTAGTAGACTCAATCGATAGTTTAAGGATTAAATAGACGTTTGACAATAGTTTAGGGGTAAAAAATGAAATTAACCCAAATTAAATTACAGAGCTGCTATTAGCACCTACCTTAATTCTTTGGACCCCCATTTCTTTGAACCTCCACCTTAAACCCTAAATTTCAGTAAGATTTCTTTTAACACCCCAGTTAATACCAAATTTACTCCTATTCAAAATGGCCTTGTTTGGGAAGTTGGCTATTTGACTTTTTGGCTATTTTAGCCTAGCTAAAATAGTTATATTTGGGAAGTTGGGAAGTTGTTTGGGAAGTGAAATGATTATGAGTTGGATGTGACATTTTGTCTTATTGACTATTTTAGCCCAACCCTCTTCCCAAACAAGACCAATATCATCACACCTAAGCGCACACCCTCTCCATCATGGTTGAAGACGGTCTTTCTCCTTCCCTCTCCTGTAGCAGAATGATGACGACGACAACGACGACGACGATCCCTATCTTTGATTTATTCAAAATCAGTGAACACCATCAATGAACGATGGCGTCCATTTTATACACAGCACGATTGCATCATTTCATCAACTCATCGGAAATCTCAGTGAAATCAATGCACCATTGCATTGACTCGTCAGAAATCCCTTCTCAGGTAACCTCCAACTCCCCATCTTATCAACACCATTGTATCTCTTCTTCCCATTACATTTTCTTTTTTGGTTTATTCCGGAGGTAAAACCCTCAATAAAGGGGGTTTTAGAGGGAAACACCATCACAAAACACAAAAGTTGGGGAAAAACCCTACAAAATGAAACCATTCAGCATATCAGTGTTGAACAAAATATTATTGTTCAGAACCCATCAACCTAACTAAATGTATCTGTTCAACACAGTGTTATCGAACAAAACCTTAAAAGTCAATAAACTAGTACTGAACAAGCTTAAACAAAACAGCAACCATCGAAAAAAACAAAGAATCATTAATGCAAGATAATGCAACGCCAATCTCATCAGAGTTGTTGTCATCGTCCTCCATTGTTCTATAAATATCACCAAATAGTGAAATAACCTATATGTGGTATGAATAATGCAACGATTCGAAATGACTGGAACGTTGGACTTCAGCCGTTGATGTCTGGTTCAAGGTTTATGCTGGTGATGAAGAGGAACAATACAAAGCTTAGGTGATGATTATGATATTATCACCTTTTATATTAATCAATCAACTGTTACAAAAGGAAGCCCTAAGGCACTAATTAAGGAATCACAATCAATCAATCACAATCTAATTTAAGTAGGGAAATAAGAAAACATTCTAACACTCCCTTCAAACTGGTACGAAGATATCTCGCATGCTCAGCTTGCCTAGAGTGTCATAAAACGGTTTACTCCCAACTCCCTTAGTGAGGATGTCTGCAAGTTGTTCACCTAACTTCACAAAAAAAATACATATCATGCCGCTGGTGAGTTTCTCCTTGATGAAGTGGCGATCAATCTCAACATGCGTTATCCTGTCAAGTTGAACAGGATTGTGAGCTATGTTGATGGCAGCCTTATTATCACAATATAGTTGTATAGAGTTTATCTGGCCCACATCCAGATCACTCAACAACAGTTTGATCCACAAGAGTTCACACACCTTGTATCATAGCTCTAAACTCAGCTTCTGCACTCGATCGAGCCACCACATTCTGTTTCTTACCCCTTCAAGTAACAAGATTGCCGCCCACAAAGGTACAATTTCCTGATGTAGATCTCCTATCAGTTGTTGACCTCGCCCAATCAGCATCTGTATAGGCTTCCACTCTGACGTGATCATGTTTGGAAAAGTAAAGGCCTTTTCCAAGAGAAGATTTCAAGTACCTCAGAGTTCTCATAACAACCTTTAAGTGAATTTGATGAGGAGCATGCATAAACTGGCTAACCATATTGACAGCAATAGCAATATCAAGATGAGAGTGAGATAAGTAAATGAGCTTACCCACTAGTCGTTGATAACTCCCCTTATCAACAGCTACTCCCCCTTTATCATTACAAAGTTTCTGATTAGGTTCCAGTGGAGTATCACAAGCCTTACATCTAAGCATCCATGTTTCCTTCAAAAAGTCAATAACATATTTCTTTTGTGAGATGAAAATCCAATCCTTAGAGTGAGCAACTTTGATTCCCAGAAAATACTTCAAATTCCCCAAGTCTTTGATTTCAAACTCAATAGCTAAATAATTCTTCAACAGGAATATTTCCTCACTATCATCACCTGTAAGCACTATGTCGTCCATATAAACAATGAGAGTTGTAGTCTTACCACGTGAGGAATGTTTCATAAATAAAGTGTGATCTGCCTGACTCTTTTTAAAACCATATTTAAGCATATCCTGAGTAAATCTCTCAAACCAAGCCCTTGGAGACTGTTTGAGTCCATATAACGCCTTGCAAAGCCTGCATACTTCACCCTCTGTCGGATGATCCTCAAAATCAGGAGGAATGTCCATATATACTTCTTCTTCTAGATCACCATGTAAGAAAGCATTTTTTACATCAAACTGATAAAGTGGCCAATCTAAATTAGCTGCTAGAGAGAGAAATATTCTGACTGAATTCATCTTAGCCAGTGGTGCAAAAGTCTCCTGATAGTTTACTCTATAAATCTGAGTGAAGCCTTTTGCCACAAGTCAAGCCTTGTAACGCTCAATGAAACCATCTCCTTTGTGCTTCATAGTATACACCCATTTGCATCCTACCAGTCGTTTGCCCTGAGGTAACTCAATTAATTCCCAAGTGTCATTCTTACGAAGTGCTTTCATTTCCTCAACCATGGCAAGTTTTTAATCAGAGTTGGTTAGGAATACTAACAGAGCAAATGTTCGACATAAAGGCTCTATATGAGGAAGACAAATGAGAGTAGGACACAGTTTGAGACAAGATGTTGAGGACAAGATCTCACACCCTTTTGTTTGGCAATAGGAATATCAAGATCAGTAGTGTCAGGAATAGCAATATCAGTAGATTCAAGAGGAACAAGAGATTTAAAGTTACCTGGACTCCTATCAGAGGCAGGAGACGACAATGGATGAGCAGAAGTGGTCTCTTGTATCCAAGTAACTTTCTGTCTGTCTTTATCCCTGATATAAACTTGTCCTTCCCTGTCCTTGGTGGCATTGGATTCTAT